AATGACCGAAGCAGGCATGTGCGTAGGCGAACAAAGAACAAAGTCCTCTTCTTATATAAAGAAAAAATTTATTTAATGACATATAATTTTTATTATATTATTTTTACGTCACTGTCATATTTCTACACCTTTTTAAACATATATATATATATATATATATATATATATATACTATATAGTAAATATATAAATTAAAATACTATTGCCAAAAGTTTTATTATAAATAATTTTATTAATTTATTAATGAAATAAGAAACTATATGTATTATTATTATTGCCACATATTTTCCATTCTAACTGTTATTCTTAACTTTTGTGAATTATATTTTTCTTACATAGAATAAAATATGTCATTTTCTTTAAATTAAAATACTGGCTTATTAAAAAGTATTAAGACATATCTCTGATATGAACTATGGTTCTTGTAAATATAACAAGAAAACTAGAACACGCGATTCACAATGCGGATTACTAGGCAAATTTTGGTATGCATGTTTTATATTATGTACTACGCCACACTACTTTGAAGAGATAAATATACCTTTACAGAAATTATAGAGGAACTCTTTTGTCTAAGTGATTTTTTGTAGCAAGTTTTTTATGCATTGTTTCGATTCATATTAATTTTTCTATTGATCTCTCTCTCTCTCTCTCTCTCTCTCTCTCTCTCTCAGAATAAAAATTCATCGTTCAAGTAAAACGCCCTTGTGTTTGGTATAGATTATACATACACATGTATTAATCAATGTATACTAGGTCTTTCTACGCTATATATGATACAAACGTCAATGTTCGCCGTGTTTTAAAGGTCAATAGAGTTTTAAAGTAAACATTCGCGCACTTTACTCATTTTATTAAAACTTTTGTTAAGTATGTCAACATTAATCATTGAATATCGTTATCTTTAGTGATGTAATAAATCTTTCATTTAGAAGAGCATAAGTTATAGATTATAATATATTTTATAATTTCCTCTTTATGAATCAATACAATTATTATACGATGTAAATTAAAATTTAGAATTTTAATCTTAATTTAAAATTATACAATTTCATGAATTGCTTCATTTTTACATAATATTTATGTAATATTTACTTAATATTTAATTTGCTCTGAAAACAGTAAATATACTTAATACAATTTATTTTGTAATGTAAAATATATTATCGTGTATAATTGTTCAGAAATTTTCGATGCGGCGTTGAGGATTTCGACAAATCATGTTGCATAAAAGTGAAAGCATTCAGGTTCTTGATCGTCGACTTTAAGGGAATAAACCGCGTTGGATATGCCTGTTTAAAACATTTACACGAATGACCGATCGGTGGTGAGGAACACACCATCCAACAGCCAATGCAGTCTCTCACGTATTCGCTACCCTTCAACCCCTTTCTCCTCTCTTATCATGTTGCTCCTTTTCTCATTTTCCCTGCCCGACGTGGCACGTTCTCAGCGTCTCGTCGAGCTAGAATTCTCGCTCCGTTTACTTTGCACGACGAAGAGGCTGACCTCGGCAGTTTACAACGTGCGCACATTAACACGTCCCACGATGTCGAGGCAAAACGATTTCTAAAATGCAATTGACATCTACAAATGCATCAATCGTTCTTTTTATTTCTTTAAATAATATTCATATCATTGGGAAGTGTAAAATTTATGTTAAATTTAACACATTTAATATATTTTACAATTTAACACATTTTCCAAACATATCGCATACATTTATATAAATAAATGGGTTAACCCATGGGACAAACTATGCGTATTTAGGACCTTAGATTAGAGTTTACGCACATATAATATTTAGTTACATAAATTTACATCTGATTGCAGCACTTAATTTGAATAATATATATGTAGGATATGTATGTGTATCATGATTGAATATATGCATCGTATATGTCCTATATATTCTAGAATATAATAACAAAGAAAAGAAAAACAATTTTACTAGAGACTACAGTGAAGAAGAAAAAAAAGAATAATATTCCAGACACACAATACAAGTCTAAAATTGGAGTAAAAGAATATCTTTTAGATGTCTTTTAGACAGTTCACACAAATACATCTTTAAGATACATATCTTTAAGATACAAATATATCTTTAGACGTCTCTTACATATGTTATGATTTTAAACGTCTTATTATTTGGGATATGAATATTATTAGGGCACATTTTTATAAGAATATTCGTTTAGAATTGATCGAATTAACTAAAAAGTAATTATATTGGTTGGACATGTTTTAGCGACTAATTTTAATTATTTTTTTCAATGAAAAGTTAAAAAATATAAAAATTCTCTAATTGAAAGTATTCGAACCCATTATTTGAGTGCATTAAATGTGAAAGAATTAAATTTTTCATATTAATTTTCTGTTTTAAGTATTTATTTGCATTTCTATGGTAAACATATAATATGCTAATGTCATTTACGCATGGATATCGGATAGTACTGAATAGAGATCTATTAAAATGATCAATGCGTCACAATATGACGACGAATATAATATACATGCTTTATAAATAATGATAAAACAAAACAAGATAAAAAACAAAATAATAATAATATGGTATTGCTCTTGCAGTCAATAGTTTTTACAAAGTTTTATGTAAGTCCATATACGCATAGGTTTATTGTATGTTATTATCAAATATCTTTAATTAATTTTCCTTTATTTTTATATAGAAAAATACCATTGTATGTAAGACATCAAAAAAATATATTATTTCTTATCAATATATAATTTTTATTTACATTTTAATAAATCTATTAAGTAAAATTATTTATATTCTAATTGTGAAATTTTGGCACAATTAAATATATTTATATAGTTAAACATATAATTTACATGTCTAAAAAGATTTATAATAATAATAATTATTTAATTATGTATGTTAATTTTTTAAAACTGAATTAAAAATATCTTATTTCTTTTATTTGTTTAATTGGGAAGAATAAAAGAGATAATGTAAAAATTCTATAAGGTATATAAAGTATGAAATTTGATTTAAAATTGTGCACTTCTTTCAGTATATTATTAGAATATGGAATATTTGATTTTCAATTTTAATGACGATGGTAGTAATTGCAATCACAAAGATGTTTTTATCCTGTATGCATATATTAAGGGAAGTTATTTCACTATGGAAAAAAAATTAAGTTATATTAGATCATGATTTGCATACAGATTAGTAGAAGAAAAGTTTATATTATCAAGATGTAATATACATATTTAATAGCAATCTGTATTTAAATATTTCTATTCGATCTCGAAAGAATGTCAATAAATCAGAGAAATAGAAGATTTTATTATATATAAGAATTTAAAATACGTTCTCAATTTACAGCGGGAATGTACCTTTCCCATTTCTCGATATCTGCTTATATCGATATTCTTTGGTCTCGTCGTGCACAAGATGCTTTGAGAAAAGCCTTTATCCTATCCTTCGCTAATTATAGCCTCCGCTTTGAAGAGTAGCGGCACTTTTAAACCTTATAAAATTGAATAATCTCTCGAGAGAAGCAAGCAAGAACAGAATTATACAAACATCGTTTTTTCTGTTATATTTATGTTTGGTGCAAGTTAAATCCACTTTAAAAGTAATTGATTATTTCCATGGACGGACAACATTTCATTTCGTATTAATCAGGCGTTTTTTCATAATCCTGATTTAATATTTCTATTAATATTGTGTTTAATACATTTTTTGAAATATTTCCTCGATTCAACATACGGGTATTTTCTTTTAAGATCTCAAAATCAATTTTGCTTCCTTCTACATTTCCGTTTTTATTTTACACATTCCACATCTCATGTAAATATTATTTTCTCGCAATACGATTTCTTTATATGATATATTCTTGCATAACATAATGTATTATATGAAAAGCATACTATAAGCTTCTCATATCTCCTTTCTGGACATAGACAAAATATTTCTATTCATGCCCGCGTTGTACTTATTGTTAGCTAGATTACTGTGACAAACTGTTATGCAAAGAAAAAATTTAATCATTTATTTAAAATTAAATTTTTTTTAATAGTTTAAAAAAAATAATTTTGTTTACAATAAATAAATTAAATTAATCTCTCTAAATAGGTATGTTTGTTTGTCACTTCTTGTTCTATGCTTCAAACACTAATTAATAGTAAATATGCGGGTAGAATTAGTATTATTTGAATGTTGAGTGTTTTACTCGACAGATCGTTAGTCCCGACTAGGTTCTTGATGAACAATCAAATGTGGTTACGTGACATGTCAATAAATTAGTTTGACCTGATATAGCTTGATTTTCGTGTATGTAAATGCCGAGAACACAACAACAAGAATAATACAACATCCAGCACTCGTTGTCTATATCTTATCATATGGAACTTTAATAAACATCCAGTTTTTAATCCGAAAGTAGTTATCATTGATTTTTTTACATAAACGATCACTTGAAAGTTTTTTCTACCTTTACAATAATTATTAATAAATTACAATAATTTATTACAATAATTATTAATAAAAACAGATTGTATATTATTGATTGCTTTTCGATTTATTAATATTTGAGAACATTATGGATATGTATTTAATCACAATTTTCTGAAGAAAATTAGCGGAAACCAAATAAGTAATATTAAACAAAGTAACACGTTAAGTATTATAGTTTATTATGACAATATTTAGAAAAGATTTAAATTAATATACATTTTTTTATGCGAGTTTTTTTTAATAAAATTGTATATTTATATATTCGTAAAGAATAATAAAAGAAAGAGAATATGAACAATATACATACAAAACAATATTTAGCAACAATTTATATTTTTTGCTACTGATGTGTAAAATGCTTCTACTTTTTATGTTTCCTTTAGGGAAAAAGTTACATGATCAATATTCATGTATTTCCGAGTTAAGATTCTCTGTATGAAATATAAAATTAAAGAAAAAATGATTATGTAATAAATATATTTTTACAAATACTAACTACATTCTCGATATGTTTTAGAATGCTTTTTAGTTCGGTTCTTTTCCTGGCAGTCTGGACTAGTTCGTCATTCGCAGAGGAATCCTCCAATGATGCCGCGTCTGCCAAACGAGCGCCCATGGGATTTCAAGGTATGCGCGGAAAAAAGGACCTTATTCCTACAATCGCAGAACACAATGAACTTTCCAAAAGAACATTAGTGAATTTTCAGGTAAGCCATTATCTAACTTTTTAAATAGAATTGATATAGGAGAAGAAGAAGGAAAGTCTAATTTTATGTGTTTAATTTCTTATCTTTTAAATTATTTATAAGATAAAGAGATTTTGATAATCACAGGATAAGGATTCGAGCGCGTCCGAAATTGAGGACAATCTTCTGCACGATGAGTTTGACAAAAGAGCACCAAAGGGATTTCAGGGTATGAGGGGGAAAAAGGATTATTTGACACCTGATTTTGAGGACTCCTATTTCCTTGAGGACTACAACAAAAGAGCGCCAATGGGTTTTCAGGGTATGAGAGGCAAGAAGGCTATATTAGAAGACGAATATTATAAACGTGCACCTATGGGATTTCAAGGAATGAGAGGGAAGAAATCTTTGGAGGAGGTAAGCGTGAACATTCAGATTAATTGAATTATTATAATAAATCAACATTAACAACTTATAAAATTCTTAAGTATGAAATTATTTATAAAATGGATAAATTATAGAACTATATTCTGTTTTTTCTTCTTTAGTTTTTTCTATTCACATGATTAGTTTTAGTTGAATAGATATGAATAGATTTAGTTTATCTTTCTTAAATAAATGTAATCATTATAAAAAGATTCTTAATCATTTAAGCGTTTTAAATAGCAAGTTAATGTATCTTAAATTAACAGATTTTAATTTGTCTGAAACTTAGTCGTCGTTGTTTATACTTTATTTTACTAAAAAATACTAAATTATAGATGCTGAGTGAAATTGAAAAGAGAGCTGCGTTGGGCTTTTACGGTACTAGAGGAAAAAAAACATATGTTTTCGAGTATCCACAAGATTACGAAAAGAGACTTTTAGCAATGGACTTCCAAGATATGCACAATAAGATAAAAGAAGAATGGGAAAAAAGGGCTCCTATGGGATTTCAGGGGATGAGAGGCAAGAAAGCATTGTACGACGAAATAGAAGAACTTGAGAAAAGAGCCCTTATGGGTTTTCAAGTAAGTTAATTAGTTGCTTAATCAGTTCTCTCTCTCTCTCTCTCTCTCTCTGGAAACATAGATAGTTTTTTATCTAATTGAATATATTTATAACTTTCAATATAATTGATAAGAAACATTTAGTTAAGAAAACATTAAAAAGTTAAGAAAAAGAAATGTTTTTAATAATTAATTAATTAATTAATTGTTTTAGGGCATGAGAGGCAAGAAAGACGGCTTTGAAAATTACATAGATTATTACATAGATGATCCCGACATGGATTTCGACAAGAGGGCACCAATGAGTTTTCAAGGGATGAGAGGCAAGAAAGACACCGATAAGAGAGCACCGATGGGTTTTCAAGGTATGCGGGGCAAGAGGAGTGTAGGACAAAGATTTGACCCCAACATGAATTTTGGATCATTAAACGAATATCAAGGTAGGGTCATAGTGCTTACATTCTATATTTATGAAAAAGAGAGAAACATTTGAATATTATTATAATTAACATTTGTTAGTAATATTATTTTTCAACAAAAAACATTCATAACTCTACAATTATCAATGACTTACAAAATAGCTTATTTGTAAGAAAAATTTTATTAATAACTTATAAAATAATTGAGTTAATTAACTTATGTGAATTCTGGTTTCATAAATCTTGCTATAATCATTATAATATGTAAATATATTAAAACTTGTATTATCTTTAGTACAAATTTTAATATGAAAAATAGTTCATGCGGAAAGTTAAAAATTTCTCTTTTTATACGAGAAGTTTTGAGAAGCTGGAGACACGATTGCTTGCGATATTAAAACGAAATAAAAATTATTTGCGTACGGGAGTAGTTTTTATCAGTGTATGTTTGATTAAATGTGTTATAACTTGGTGAAAAATATTTTCTGTCGCTTTTATCGCGCACTCTAGAGTGTCTACTCGTACTTTTTGAATGCCCTTTGTAATATTACTAGACGATATAATCGATCGAGTCTAAGTGGAACGTAACGAAGGCTTCCCAAATATTTGTCTATTATTCATGCACCTCCGAACAAACTCTGTAGTGAGAAGGTAGACAATTTTTTTTATTTTCTTTCTTTTACACCGTTCTTATATGCCGTGCGAATTTGAGGTCGAAATGGTCACATTGGCCCACGTTGTGTTTCCCCCGAGCAGGAAGGAGCAATAGAAGACACATTCTAGCCTCGTGCCAAGTCGAAAAACGATCGCCTTTCCGATATTTTGAGATGCGCGGTAAGAAAAATCCACGATGGGAGTTACGGGGGATGTTTGTGGGGGTGAGAGGCAAAAAATGGGCGAATGCCCCGTACGAGGACAACAGCCCGTTCATAAGGGTGCTTGATAACACCGAGAGGATCGGCATGGATGGGGATTCGCCGACAACATTAGGTAATCGATTGGCTGACAGCCAATTGATATCAAACATTTATGTCGCAGTTCTCTTTATCACTTCGTTTATCTTTCATGTGTATCTAATGGCTAAATATGCTTGCAGTATTTATCAAGTGTCAAGCAATTTATCAGAACGTAGAGAAAGAAAAATTAATTTTTTCTCTTTCCACACAAACGTTCAAAATATCTTCTTCAGCGCGTTTTACATGCAATGTATCATTTTCAAAAATCTTTGCTAATTATACACTCTTCTATGTATTTACTTTGCATGCGACACATGGAGCACATTTAAATGTACTCAGTATACTTGTAATATGTGTCGATATACTTTATTCTTACTGTAATAATTGTTTTTATCCACGCTGCTGAATTCAACACTTCTTTATGATCAACACTTATAATCGGCCGTTTACAAATTATTCCGCACTATTAATGCTGTGAAAAAAAATTTTTTCCTTGTATACGATGCCAAGTGACATTTATAACAAAGCTGTGGATTATCTTCCTCGCAACTACGAGACAATACCGACGCAAGGGTTCGCTTTAAAACTTTCTCTGCTGCGCATATTGTTATCGAGAAGTTGCTCACTATTGTGTACACGATTGCACGAAATAATAATAAATTCTGCATTGTAACTTTGGGATGACAGTCTGACTAGTTGTAAGAATCAGTTATCTACGCACAATTCATTATCTAACAACTAATCATTAATATAAAAATGTGTAAACATTTCATTAATTTTGAATTGCACTTTCTATTAATTTAGTTAATTTATTTTAATTTTTATTAAAAAAGAGGTAATAACAAGAGTCAAATTTTCTCAAATATCATCATAGTAAATTTTCTTAAAAATTCAAATGTCATCTTAAGCAATTTATTTATAATTGTGCATACTTTCTTATTAATATCATGACATTATAAACATAAAATATATATGTTATTTTTATATATATATATAAATGTGTAGATGTATAAACAATTTGTATCTTAAACAAAAAATATTAGTAAATAGATAAGTAAATAGATAATGTAGAAATTTTCTTTCAAAGTATAGTTAGGAATAAGTTACTCTATTCAACTCTATTGTATCGTACAGCGATAAGAGTTGTTTTATTAGATATAGTTTCGTCCTTAGTTTTTCGTATACTAAACAGTTGATTCATATACTAAAATGTGATATCGATTCACTAAATGTTACGAAGGTAATATTATAAACACTATTTTTTGTTTTATGTTTCAGATTCACAATAATACAACAGCTCTTAGAAACGATAACGCAACTGTTACGAAACGTCTCCTCCAAATAATTAAACCGATATAGCTAAATCTAAAAACGAGGAAAAAAGAAGACGTATCTATCAGTTATGATAATGGATGCAGTATATTGTCATTTGTTATTTTAACAATTTGTTAAGGCTTCGTTATTGTATTTTACATATCATAAGTTATTTTACATATTATAAGCCGATTTTGATCTAGTCAATGTGTATGATTTATTATATATACATTATTACTTATGTTTTTATGTTTTCATAAAATTCAGAATTGCGTGCGTTGGACGCAGGTCGCAAATCACAAGTCGCAGATACAATCGTAGCTGAGGACATAAATTCAAAGTGTACACAATGAATATGGTATATGAAAGAAAAGTTCTTCTGTTTCGAATGTTTCATAAATAGTACTCTACACGCGAAACTCTTGCTGTAATTCCATATATAACTCTCCCATGATAAAATTAGAGAGAGAAAGAAAGAGAGAGAGAGAGAGAGAGAGAGAGAGAGAGAGAGAGAAAGAAATTCATGTGTAATTAAATTGTCTAAATATTTTGAATGTTGCTACATCTTTAATATCTCGCTAAAATACATTGCAAGAAAGTTTACATATTTAAAAAAATATACGTAAAATTGACATAATGGAAGAAAATTATATATTAGGTGTAGTAAAAAGAAATCCATTATTTTTACTACACCTAATATTATGATCTCAAATTCTCAAATATATAATTCTTAAGTTAATCAATTAAAATTATTTAGATAATTTAATTTAATTTAATAAAATACATTAGTAAATTACGTTAGTAAATTAATATTATTATTTAAATACTTAATATATATTAATTTAAAATTTCTAAAAAGAAAAATTAAAAAAGATTGTTTTTATATTAAGATAAAAGGTATTATATACTTAAAATTAGATTTATAAAAGTGTCTAAATTTCTAAATACACTTGTATTTATAAAATTGTGTGCATTTAAATAGATACATTTAAGTACAAAATATACCATTGAAATTTATATTTTTAAAAACTGTACGCATTAATCGGAAACGAAAAAATTTATTAAAAATAAAAATATATGAGTTTCTTTTTATCTTCTTTTAAGATGCCATATAACATAGCTATGAAAAATTTTTATTTATGTTCGTACATTTACGATTTGTGTCCTCCGACCTGTGTTGCAAATGACACGTTGTGATTGGCGATATGTAATTAGCGAAAATAAGTCGAAAATATCTTTCGCCGATAATTATACATCAGTGAAGTCTTTCAAGAGATGCCTATATCAGTATTATTGTTATTTCGTAAATGTATATTTCGTAAAATGTAAAAAGTAGCAATTCGTAGCAGTGACATTCTTGAATGAATTTGTGAAACGATTATTCCTTGACAAGAAGATTTAAATAAATATCGTACTAGTATAATTTTTAAATTTTTAACATTAAATATTTTATTTTAATATCTATTAAATTTTGAAAATTATAAAAACTATATTATTTTTAAATTAACGATTAAGAACTAAGCGTTTAATACACATTTAAAAAATTAGGTTTACAAAAGATATACCTAAGTTCATAAATATATTATAAGAAAATGTTTAAAATATCCTAATAAAATATCGTAAATAAAGTAAGTTTATCGTTAAGGAAAAATCGATTTAAAATTCATGGGAAAAAATGTATTTCTACCATTAATCTTTTATGGGACACTATATTTATGAATCATATATTTATGAATCCTGTGTAGGATCTGTTCTACTTTAATTTGTGGACACATATCGGCGTAACTACGACAAAATTATTTCATGTTCTCGACTCCGAGAAATAAGATGTAAACGGGGAACAGGTGGTGTATAAGCTAAGATTGAATAGTGTATAAATTATATCTAGCGTACCTTGTGACATAGATAGGAATTATATTTTTCTCTGAATGTTAATCGGTAATTGTTATCATAGATATGATTACGTTCTTAATCATTATGTTTTCGTTTTCAAATAAAATGCAGAATTAATTGACGTTGAAAGGTGACCATTTTTGTGGCCATTGGTTACATTCAACGGAATAAAATTTAATTCTGATCCGACTGACGCTATTCAGTAATCTCAATCTAAAATATTTTGCTTAAATATTTAATTTCTACTGATCAATATATATTTTTTCTAATAGTAATGCGACGTTACAATAATATTGTATCGCATATAATAAATTTCTTGTTTAAAAAATTATAACTTATTAATTTCTATCGCGTAGTATGATGGAACTTACGTCATGTACTTATGTTTGTTGCATATCTTGTTATAAGATAATAAATTGCTTCAGGCTCTAATATTTCTATAGCTCGTAATGTTTTATTCATGTCCTTTCTTTAGTTGTTTTATAAATGTATAAATGCAAAAATTATATAGCACAAATTATTATACTATTGGAAATAATAATTTTTTTCCGTTTGTGTTTATATAAGTTTTGATTTCGTCATGAATTCAACGAGAAATCTATAAAAATTGCGACAAAAATATTACAAATTCTGATTGTAATTAGCATAAACAATAATTAATAAATGGCTGTCATGAATTATTTTGTAACATATTTTCCAAATATTTTAAATATTTTAAATATAACCCATCTATGTTCATTTAGAGAGAGAGAGAGAGAGAGAGAGAGAGCAAATTTTCTAACAAATAATTTTCCGTTTCTCAATATTTATTAATGGCTCTTGTAATTTTTAATAATTTTTGTCCTTTCATCCTATCATAAATTATCATAGGTATTATAAACAAAACAATGTATTTTAAATATGAAAGATTATTTTGAAAAAGTAAATAAAAATGAAAAGTAAATTAAAAAATTATTTAATTCTTAACTAGATTTACGTTGAAGAATAAAATAAAGAGGAGACATTATATACAAGATAATATGTAAATTTATATGTAATTACAAGAATGTTTTTGATGTGTTTTATATATATATTAGGTGCGCAACTAAGTTCCCGCTGTTTGTCAACAGATGGCTCCAGCAGTAAGTGCTGGTCGATTCTGACATAACCTAAACGTCATGAACCAAGCTTAGACATATAGTAAACAAACCGCTTTGAAACATTAGTGATTTTGTTTTTACGTCATATTCTTTTGGTTGTGTGAAAATGTCTGATTTTGTGCCAAATAATCGTCATATGCGGGAAGTATTGATTTTCTTCTTTCATTCGAAGAAAACGGCGGCTGAAGCGCATAGAGAGCTCCAAAAAGTTTACGGAGATGCTGCTCTAAGTGAAACAACGTGCCGAGATTGGTTCCGTCTTCAAATGTTGACGACCGTCCGCGTGAAGGAAGGCCAAAAACCTTCGAAGACGCTGAATTGGAGGCATTGCTCGATGAGGATCTGTGCCAAACGCAAGTAAAAGTTTTACTTCATCGCGAAAGAACATTCGCGCGTGAACAATTATACGATGTGTCTGGTAATACACTTTCTCTCTCTCTCTCTCTCTCTCTCTCTCTCTCTCTGTGATATAATATAAAAATATTACAACTATTACAATAATATAAAAATATTAGTTGTTAAATTGCTGAGTTTTTTCACGCAGTAATTCCCATAAAAGAAAGTATGATGGAAGTAAATGTAAGTGTGAATAAATGTGAATATGTGTGATTAATCCGTTTTTATTGAATTAAATTTCTTTAAAGTTGTGAGTTAAAAATATACAAATAAAATATTGTGAAAAATTTCAACTTTAATCAAAATTTCTAAAATTGCAATTATTATTGCAAAAATGGAACAATTTATTTTAAAAAAAGAATATGATTGTGTATAATGTAGAAAAATTTTAAGTTTAGTTAAAGTTTTTAATTGCAACTATTGTGCTCGATAAAAGTGATCGTGTATAATAATCATTCTATTTTTAGTACAGACTGTTCAGTTTTTATCGAGGATAATAATTGTAATTAGAAACTTTGACTAAACTTGAAATTTTTCTACAAACTGTATTTTAACTTACAATTTTAAACAAAATTTAATTTGATAAAAACGGATCAACTTACAAAGGTCCTCTACCATCTCAACTGGCTTTAATTGGCGATATTTTTTCCTTAAAATATGTTTAAATTTTTCCTATTATATATTCATTTCATATCTTCTGTCACATATAATTTATAATAAATACTGTAATTTAATTTAACTATTCTTTTTATTTAGTAAATATTTATTTATCGTAAATAAATGTTATGTTTCATTTCATTATTTATCAAAATTTATCAACATTTTTCTCTCAATGTATTATATATATATATATATATATATATGTGTGTGTGTGTGTATATATGTTGTTTTATTAATTATCTGACAATAATTATCAGCATTAAAATATAGGTAAGCAATTCATTCATCTCTCTCTCTCTCTCTCTGTTTCTCTCTCTGTTTTGATTTTATCAAATATTTATTTGACAAAGTTTATTTATCTTATATCCTGCCGATTTTAATTGAAGAACTTCTTCTTTTTTAAGAATGTATCACGTAAGGGAAAGTAGAGTAATTGTGCGCAGCAGGTAATTGTATATCTTACAAAAATATATCATTTTGCTCGACTTTTGAGCTATTATTCATTGAGTTAAGTTAAAAAGTATTTGAGTAATCATTTTTCTTATCAAATTTTTTTTACTTTTTTTTAATCAAATTTTTTTTACGTTTTGATTAAAAAGACATTTAAATGTCCAAGTTATTAAATTTTATTTTATTTTATTTCAAAGTTGATTCCATTAATAGAATATGAAAATAGAATTATGAGAATAAAAAAAGGTTTTTGATCTTAATTTTAATTGTGTCATTTTTCTTCCCAAACTTTCACATCTACTTTGTCCGGACTTCCCCTATAAAAAAATCCTTAATGTGCTTTTTTATTATTTATTATTCTTTTATTACATAATTTATAATGCATACTACAATTTATTTATAACAATTTATAGTGGAACCTGGGGCATAATGAATCTACGGGATATAATACGATATACTCGATAACTTTTTATAGAAATGCTACTATATAATGAAATGTCAGACAATAGTTACTGTTAGATGTATCGTATTATATACAGTTATCAGTTGTCATATTATTTTTACTTGAAAATTGCTAAAAATTGTTTAATGCGTTCGCTGTGGTCCGCGACTGAGTTACAATTTCTTTGATATATTCACATGTAAAGTAAGCAATAATCAAATTTTGTTTTATATTATCATAAATACATTTATATCTTATTAAACAATCTTTTCTTGTCACTTTAAAATAAATAAAATCTATACAAATATATTGATTAGCTATGGTATTTTATATTATCTAAAGTAAAAATGTTTATGCACGTCGAGGCATATAACGCACTAATACATGGGGACAATGGTGCACAATGGCTGCGCCGTGATATCATCCGCCATGACACATGAGGCAGAAGTGAAGTTAGTGCCAGTCTTTACGTGTTTGCGTGTTTTTAGAATTGTATAAATACAAATATTGTAATCATACACGAAATTTTT